TGTTTTTAAGTGAAATTACTTTTTTAATAGACTCTATCAATATTTATGTTATGTTAGTGCTGGGAAGTCCCACCATGATTGGCACTATACAAGCCCATAGTCCTTGTCCTTAAAAGCTTTCAAACTACATAGATAAGATGAACTAAGAGTGGGAGGGGAACAAAGATGTGAAGTGGCTTAGCAAGGTCAGTGGCAGTCAGGAGTGGTACCTAGCATGATTTTCAGCCTAGAGCTATGTCTAGCAGATAATACTGCCTCTATAAATATAGTAGAATCTATCTTATTGTTTTTCCTAAGTGCTGAGAGTCCTTGGTTTTGCTGAATTCAGTAGTACTTGAGGAGGTTCAGCACCTAAGACATGCTGGTTTGACAGAAGCCTTAGAAAAATGTCAATCCCCATTATGTGGGATTTGTGAGTAACAAAGCACTCTCTCTTAATAACAGCTCATGTATCTTTAGTGTTATTGAACAGGTTCAAAGAGTTTGAGAGGACCTGGTATTTCCCACTGCTGCAGGTTTTGAGCCTGCTGTCTGTGCAGATGCAGGGATCTCTGCAAAATACCCAGCAGAGTTGCTCAGCATGTCTCGGTGCCACCGGAAGAGCAAAGCAGAAGTCAGGAATGACAGACAAATCCAAACCCTTTCTGAAAACTGCTGAGCAAGCAAATGGAGGCAGCTTGGAACAGAGGGGAGGAAAGGAGATCAGCACTTCTGGACTTTGATTAGACTCAGTGCAGCAAAACTAGGAACCTTATATACTGCTAATGTCTTTTCACTTCCAAATCACTTGAAATTGCCCCCATTAAGTAATGGTAGCCATTACCATTAAGAGTTATTGGTCTTATAGTAGTTCACTGGAAGACGCTTTGCTTAATTACGTTTCCCAGTTAAGTGCTTAGATAGTCATACTTGTACAAGAGGGATGAGTGTGGTACATGAGCCTCAAAAGAAAGATATCATGGCCTGATTCTAACTCTGCAAGATGGTGAGGCTTTCATCTCCTAGTGGAGTGCAAGCAGCATGACATTTTCCAGTAAAAGGCACTTAGCAGTGTGTCCTAAATAAAATAATTACATAGTTTTCTAAAATAGAAGTGAAGGCAAGAGGCAAAGGAACCGTACAGAATAGACTTCTGGAAAGTGATTTTTTTCTAAGTGGAGGAAGGGAAAGAAAATATTCTTTCATTTAAAAATGACACCAAACACCTACCACTTGTGAATATAATAGTTTTGATGACAACTTGCTTCAGTGGGGTGCAAGCATCATGAAGAAATGTCTGAATCTCTATGCAGACTTCTCCACAAAAAAACCAGAGATGCTATTCAGCCATTTCCTTCAACATCAAGATGTTGTTGTATTAAAATATAGTCTGAAAGACCAAAACCATACTCAGCTAACCCCTGAATAAGATAACAGGAAAGGATATAGAGATGCCATGACTGGTAATTAGAGTTGTGTCAACAGCTGGTGATAATTTTGATATAACAAACAAAGGAATGAAGAGGCATGCAAGTTGTATCTCTGACCTGAGGGAATGCTGCAAAAACCCCCCCGAAAACAGACGTGTATTTGAATTCTTGCACAAATTGCTGTGGCCTGTATTCACATGCCTTCTAGGTTCAAAGGCCGGGTAAAGACATTAGTGGTAAAGACTTTTACTAGTATAAGTAGGGATCTTCTTAAAGTGTGCCAAGACAAAGGAAAAATAACGGGCCGCTTGTGACACCCCATGCCACTTTTCACAGTCTTTTCCCAACCCTGCTGCTGATTGGCCAAAGGGCCCTGGCAGCCCTTCCCACCTTGCCACTAATTGGCCAAGAGGGCTGCTTTTCATGTGGCCCTGCCCCTCACCACTGATTGGCAGTGAGGGTTGCCCTTCATGAGGCCCTGCACCTTGCACTGATTGGTGAAGAGGGGTGGGGCTGCACAAAAGGCAGCCCTCTCAGACAGTCAGAAGCAGAAGAAGGAGCCACCATGTTTGCCACTCCCCTTCATGCTGGTGGCTTCCCCCCACCGGTGGCCTGCATTTTATTTTTAGTAAGATTTGTTTTTTCCTAGCAATTCCATACAAAATCACAAAAACTGACATTTTTCACAGTGCTCACTGAAACCACTGTTTTTTGTGGTTTCAGCAAAAATCTGAAAACTGCAATTTGAGTAGGTCCCTAGTAGGTATAAGTGATTGGAAGCTGGTCTGTACAGACCAGAAGTTCAGCACACAGATATACCTGTACCATAGACTGGTTTAAAAATGGCAGAACCCAGTCCAAAATTCCCTCCCAACTCCCCTCCCCGCCCCCTGCTTCTTGCCCACCAAAGGGAGAACTGTATGCTGTTTGCTACTGCTACTGCATACAGAAAAATGTGTAACTTAGATTGATTCCACCTCGGGCTTTTTGGATGTCTGTACCTAGCCATATAGAGCAGCTGTACTCAACTGAATCATGAATTTTAAGTGAATACTCCAAAATACTTACAGAAAGCACATTCTGAATATTCCACTTCAAGCACACATAAGCAAAATTGTATTTAAGAATGGCATTCATCCAGTCAGGATTTTCAATATAACCGAAGTGCCCAATCAAAACTGGTTGAATTTCTCATATGGAATATTCACAATGCCTTCACAATTTATTCGTCTGTAGTTTTGAATAACAAATATTTGAGTAAATCACAATCAGTTCACAGATAAGTCATAAACAAACAACAGGTGAATTTTATTTAATAAATTATTCATTATGAATTCAACACAGAACTCTACTGATTGTATCATCAAACTTAATGAATGAAGACATGAAAATCTGCAATATGCTGTGTTCCATCATTTATGCTGGTTAGACTACACCAGCTAACTGCGTAGCAATTAGTCATACACAGTTTTTAACACATGTTTATCATGCTACATTTTATGAGTGATGTTCTCAGTAGGTTTAGATTGAGGCAGTGACACCCTCTTCAATGAAATATAATGATATATGACAGACAGCAAATGTGTGATTATTAGAGTACTTTACTTTCCACTGGCATGGTATCCATTTATATTAATGTTCCAAGCCTGCATACAAATATACAGATCTTAATTGTTTAAATACAATTTATTTGAAAATAAAGTATCTTAATTCCTTTTTAAAAGCATGGCCACCTTCTTTATTACAACATACATTCAGACAACATGTGTCTTTTACATGTACTGTGGAAGATCATTTGTTTTTGCTTCTCCTCCCCCAGGTTTGCTGTATGTTGGGTTTAGTGCCTGTATGTTTGGCCTCTACAGTTTCATGCCAGTGGTCATAAAGAAAACCAGTGCTACTGCAGTCAATCTCTCCCTCCTCACAGCTGACCTCTACAGCCTGTTCTGTGGATTATTCCTCTTTCACTACAAGGTAAATTGTGTTGAACTATATGTTTGAATGGTGGCTCTGTGTCTGAAGTACTGTCAATGCAGAGTAATGAACTAGCCTGGTGAAAACAATAGGGGTCCAGGTTTGGATGGATCTATTTGCAGTCAAGTAAGGAACTCTCTGTGCTCTTTTTAATTTATTAAAGTAAAATGTTCCCCTCCACACTAACTTCACCCCCAGTAAAAAGACATTGAGTAATTTTTTACCCTGAAACTTGACCAGATCCAAACTAGTGAACTAAAAGAGAATTAATTTATGAAATAGTAAATGATCCCAAAGGTGATAAAATTGTTTTGTTTCATAGGATGTCTGAAACAATTTTAAATACTGAGGGTTGGTTTTTTTCATCTTGCCTCTTAATTGTCTATTTATAGCTCCAAAAATGTCCTTTGGGTATCTGTGCTAATATCTTGGCCATTAGCATAGGAACTGTACAAATGATTTTTCTTGAAGTCAAGCCCCCACCTATCAAGCCTATTGCTATGTCTAATACTGTTCAGGCACACCTCTGGTTTTCAGTTTCAAGAGATTATATTGCATTATTCACCATCTAAGAAGTGGCATTAGATCAGGGGTAGGCAAAATGTGGCCTGTGGCCCGGATGCAGCCTGCCAGGCCATTCTATCCAGCCTGTGGGGCCCTTAAAAAATTTAGAAAATTAATATTTATCTGCCCTGGGCTGCCTGTCATGCGGCCCTCAATGGCTTGCCACTCTGTAAGTGGCCCTCTGCCCAAAATAATTGCCCGCCTCTGCATTAGATGCTCAACGGCGATTGCTTTGTATGTAGCTATGATTTATTCATAAAAGGGAGGTGACTTCATGAGAAAGATGGTGGCCCAGAAAGTCGTGGAGGAAAACAAAATTCTTTAAGGGTGGGCAACCAATCCTAACTCAGCTTATGAACCTAATAGTCTCTGAATAGGTCTGAGTAAAGAGAAGAGATGTCCATATGCTGATACAGATTCATACAGAATCCAAAATGTACTGATCCACATGATTGATAATGGGATATTGTGTCCCTTTAACGTCACCAATTCAAATCAATAGTAATAGAATTTGTTGCTAGCTGAGATTTGTAATTAATTGTTATCACCGCTATTTTATTTACAGTGAAAATTGTCAGTAACTTCTAGAATTTGTTACTTATGATGAGCTGTGTTTAGTGAAGTCAATCTTGTAACCTGTAGGCAAGTGGCCACATGAAAAGAACAACTCGTTTTTGCAATATGTCATCGCTGAGATTTGTTTTAGCAAAGTCAGATTCCTACGTTAGGAGAGTTTCCAATCTGGGTCCCCACTTACCAGTATCTTTCATGAATGTAACAAGAGGTATGTAAGCAATCCCAATATGCTCTGTGTCTTGGTTTTGTCTTACCTTAAACATAATGTACAGAGGGATAGATAGATGGTTCCAGTTCTTCTCCATTTGTGTAATACACCCAGCAGAGACTGGGAGGGCTGAACAATCAAACAGATTGATTCACTCTAATAAGTTCCATGGGGAAGATACTCTTTTCACACATGCAGTACAGCCTTATTTCCTCTTCTTAGACCTGCTATTGTAATAGAAAAAAATAATCATAGGAATAGTAAAATAAACTGTGGTAATGTAGAACTGAAAAGAATATCCTGGGTCATGAGGTCTAATACTCAGCTATCACAAATCACCACTTCATGTGATTCCTTTCACGATGTAATCAAGCTTTATCTGAAGACTAGTTAGGGGTTTTTGCTCCCTCTGTTCCTATTGGAAGGCTGTTTAAGAACCTCACTGATCTGAAACAATTTCTTCTAATTTCCAACTTAAATTTATTCACTGTCAGTTTATAATAATTTTTTCTTGTACTGACACTGCTCTTTTCCTTCCCTAGTGTTTACCTCCTGATATATTTATAGCATGCAAGTATATCCCCTAACAGCTTTCTTTTTGGTAGGCCCAAACAGAAAGCCTCTAACCTGTGTTGAAAAATGATGCATCCATTCTCCTGATCCCCTTAATATCCTTTCTTTGCACCTGTGCCCATTTGAATTTATGTTACTTGACAATGGGTGACCAGAGTTGTACACAATATTCCATAGGAGTTCCCACCAGTACCTTGTACAATGTCTTTAATATGTCTCCCTATTGCTACTAGAAGCGTGTGGCTTGATGCACCCTAGGATCACATTTGATTGTTCCCAGCCAGCAGCATAGAGATGCAGCCAAGCACCTAGGGGAAAGAGGCAGCAGAGACTTCCAGTTGCCACTACAATCATGATTGTGTGGCTGTCAGCAGCAGCCTCTCCCCCCCGCAACCCCAGTAGTCAATGCTGGGATGGATGCGCTGTTTATCCCTCCCTAGTTATGCCACTGGTTCCAGCCACAAACATTGGTAGTTCAGAGTCATCCTATGATGATCAACTAATACCCTAAGGTCTTTCTCTTGGTGTTGTTTTCAACTGAAGAGATCCTCAGTGGAAGCTCCTTTTCTGGAGATTGGTGAACTTTGCACAGGCTTTGCACCAATGTAGTCCCAACCTCTACTGCTGCCTGCTTTCATACTTCTCAGGTTCACCAGGGAGAAAACAAATTTTTTTGGAAAGCAGCTGGATTTAAAATCCATTGTTCATTATCAGAATACTTGTTTTTAGATATCAGGTTTTGTTCCTTGCTTTTGGGCCTTCATCTGAGGTTTTCTTTCTAGCTTATTATCGAGCATGATTTTTACAGGAGGAAGGAGAACTGCAAAGTGTGCTCCTTGTGCTAAATAATGAAGTCTAATAAATTAGCAGTAAATGACCTAAATTAATTCTCGTCCTAGGACTGTGTATTCTGCATGTTTTCTAGCTTCAGAAAAGCTGTTCCACTCCCAGCCCAGCTGTACTCTTCTTCAGATGCTCAGCTCCTTCTGTTTATTGCTATGCTGACCAATGAGTAAAGTCCCACTTCACTAGAAAGCAAATGGTTTTATGCTAAATTAGAATCAGCTGAGTGGTTTAGTGTCCCTCACAGAATATAATTTTATGAGGCTTTCAAGAAACAGTTATGATTTTTCCCTGTGCCACTGCTTTTATCACCTGACAGTTTTATTGTACCTATAGCAGTAAATCTATGGAAATCCATGAAAACCATAGGAAATGAGCTTTACTGGGCTTTAGAGTCTCAGAAACCAAACTGAGGAAGAGATTACATTTGAAGTGTTTTGATTTGTTGGCAGTTCAACTTTTGATAACAAGAATTTGCATTGATATACAGGGCAATATGCTTATAAATAAACCAACATTGATAGTACTGTGTGCACCCTGTATACCATTGTCTCTGTATGACACTGGCCAGACTCCAAGTATGGGTCTATTGAAAAAAAATATATCATATAACTCAAAGGCAACTCTAGTGGTGTATTAATAATGTAAGGAGTTCATTATATATTTTATTAACATATAGTGATTTGTGGCTTGCAACTTCAGCTAGACTTCTGAGTATGCACATTGCAGTTCTTTGTATTTAAAATTATTTGCATTCTGCCAGATAAATGCTGTGGAAGTCTAATTTTTAATCAATAAGTAAACATTCTGCTTATAGGAGAAAGGTATTTATCAATAACCCGTCCAATAGCTGCTTACTGACCAATTAACAATTTAAGCTCAGTGCTCCATAATTTCATCCTTTTTTCCCCTAACTCTACATTCTGGCCATTTTACCATTCAGATGGTAAAGCAATTTCTTAGCTGGCTGCAGCCATTTAACTTGCCTCTCAAGAGTGATCTCACCTTCTCCTTACTTGAAAAATAATTGTCATTGGGTTTCTAAAACTGAATGCGGCATACAGAAATACATTGGATGTGGCAGAGAGTATTAGCAAAATGTAGACGGTGATGGGTGGGGAAACCTCATACTTAGCACCCCCAAAGTAAAGGCTGATTCCAACCAAAGAACTTCCCAGGCAGATGATGTACCATCTTCTTGAAGCGATTACTCAGCCTGCTTGATCAGAAGGCTCATCAGAGGGAGACTGATCAGATCATGTATATAAGCAGTTTAGGGGTGTTCAGGGAAACAGTCTGCCTCTGCTTGCAGTCTGAGGAAAGCACAGAATAAAGTGGCTTGTCTAAAAAATCCAGCTGGTAGGGTGTTGGTTTGGGACATAGGCTAAGAGACTGAAAACAGTGTGGGCTTCATTACTTCTATTACAGGACCCTGACCTATAAGATCTCCTGTAGAAAGTGAACAAATTGCCTGGTCTAAGAGGAGCATTATACTGTAGAATGGTACTTTTAGTAGTGCTGGATTAGTATGGCTGCAGGGTCAGACGCAGACAAACCACAATAACTAGATAACATATGCATAGGCAAAGGAAAACAGGGATGCATTAGAATGAGGTCCAAGTAAGGCTGCAGTTAGTGTTTGTTGTTTGGACTGGATTCCTGTTTCCTTTTCAGGATGTAAGCTGGAACTTCCAGAAGAGGGCAGGCCACAGCTTCCCTTCAGCTACATTCTCCAACATGGAAGCATAGTAGTACTTTCCTATTTATTTTAATGGGATTTACTTGTAGGATGATGGGGAACAGAAAAGAGAAAGAACAAAGTCCTTGGATTCATAGTGGACACCAAATGCTTGGTTCTTCATGTGTATTCTGATGTGCCTATCTTCCCCCACCTAGAAATATCTTGAGCACCATAACAAGGTGGTCTGGCCCTTAGAGAGGGGACAGACATCCCTGTTGTAGAAGCCCAGCCATGTGTAGTTAGCTAATCAAGGAGTATCCCACTAACAGCTAAAAACTCAGAAAGGAAAGCAGAGAGTGGGGAGCTGGGGAAAGAAGCAGGTTGTGGCCAGGACGCAGGTTGCCACCTGGATAAACTTACTACTAGGAAGGGGCCAGACCTAAAGGGCCTCTTCCATGGCCAAGAGAAGGGCTAATGGTTTTGTTCTGCTTATTTGTTTGTGTTAAGAGGACTGGCTGAAGGGCTGCCAAGGGCATGCTGACGCTTGTACAGGCA